CTAGACAATTTGATTACAATCTGATTAAAAAATAACATGATGCAATCTCAAAGATGTTACTCTTTGAAAATGTTTTTAACATTATGAGAAAATTTTTAATAATAGAAAATAGCATGATATTCTTTCATTTTATAATTGGATACTATTTTTTTTTACTTTTATATTCAAATCAATTATATTATGATTTGATCCTCTTTATTTTTCGAATTGTCAATTGTAATGCAAGACATTTTGCAGCAAGGATGGAGGAGGCTCCTTGCTTTAGACTCCCACCATCAACCAACTGACCTATAGAATCTCTACAAATCCATGCCAGCCTTGCATATCCTGATTGGGCTGGAAAGTTGCATTTGTATTGAACTTAAAACATAAAGGAGGAGGAGGCTTCCATAGCAACTTACTTATTAGTAAGGAATCTAATCAATGAAGTTGTATTCTAAATATAATGTTTTGTATGATATGAAGTGACATAAATAAGTAAATACATTCAAACTAAAGCGTAATCCTAAATAAATAGAAGTAATTGTACAATAACACTTTATATTATACTTTTTTCTTTGTTTAGTAGATAGGGTATTTCCGAGTTAGTTTGCACACACCTCAAGACTAATCCCTTTTTAGTAAATCAAGGGTAACCTATCCACGTTATGATTAGAAAATTCATGATAAATTATCTTTTTATTGACTTCCCTAAGAAATCAAAGCTTGGTCAACAAGATAGAAAACATGTTAAGAAACCAAGGAATTCCAGAGAAGAAGAAAATGGAATGAAAATCAAACTCACGTTAAAATGAAAATAAACTAGTCTTTAAATAGGTTTTACAAGATAATATTATCTAAAAAGATAACTATCCAATAAACCAAACTTATCTAATTTATTTTAAATGATAACAACCTAAATAATAGGAGAAACAAATAAACAACTTAAACTTCCTAAATTATAGAGATAATGGCTAAAAACTAGGATCTAATTTCCAATAATCCCTTCCTTAAACTGACAGTCTTTATACTTTAGTTTAAAGAAATCTGAAAAACACCATGTTTGCATTCTAGAATCTGCAGACCCTCCCTCAAATTGAATTTTGTATGTTGCTAACACCAAGTAACTCTCTCAGCCTTGAAAAAGTTGCTAATTTGAGGGGTTTTGTGAATATATCAGCCACTTGATCTTCTGTTCTGCAATAAGTCAACTCAATTGTTCCATCTTCTACCAAGTTGCGCAAGAAATGATACCTCACATGTATATGCTTGCTTCTCCCATGTAGAACTGGATTTCTAGAAAGCTTGATAACTGAACTGTTATTATAATAAATTGAAGTGGCCTCATGTTGATTCATCTCATGTTCTTCCAAAATTATTCTCAACCAAATACCTTGACAAGTACAAGAAGTCGCTGCCACATACTCTAAACATACCTAGAAGTGCTTTTTCTGTCATCTAGATCTCCAGCATAGTCATTATTTGTAAGACCCGCAAGATTTGTCTAATCACCTTTTTGTAGAATAGCCTAAAATTTGCAGTTCCACATAAATACCTAAGAATTCTTTTAGCAGTCAGCAAGTGCAACTCATTTGGATGCTCCATGTATCTGCTAATCAGACTTACACCATGCATTATGTCTGGTCTTGTTGTTGTCAAATACATCAGACTTCCAACAATCTGCTTATATGGTTTGCCATCCACAGATTTGCCACTTGGATCATTTATGAGCTTTACACCTTTGTCAACTCGTGTAGTGACAAAATTGCAGTTCTTCATTTGAAATCTGTCCAAAACTTCCTACACATATTTTTTTTGACAAACAAAAAATTTAGAATTTGACTGTACTATTTCCAGACTAAGAAAATAATGTAATAAACCCAAATCTGTCATATCAAATTCACGCTTCATGGACTGCATGAACCTTTTCAACATGCCAAGATCGTTCTCAGTATAAATTAAATCATCAACATATAAGCATACTATAATCAATTTACCTCCATCTCTAAATTTGATGTAAAGTGTATGCTCATAAGGGCACTTGTGAAAACCTTCCTTCAAGAAATAAGTATCAATTTGACTATACTATGCTCTAGGTGCTTGTTTTAGTCCATATAATGCTTTCTTCAATCTGTAAACCTTATGCTCAAAACTAGATTTCACATAACCAGGAGGTCCATATAATGCTTTCTTCAATCTGTAA